TACACTATGTAACTGCCTTTGTTGAATTTGAGAAAAACCCCTTCAACAATTACTTACACATTAAATTAACTTAAAAAAAGGATCTCAATATCAACATCAAATAAGATTTGGTTTTCTCCAGTTTACAGCCTTTATTATGAGACTCCTTATATGGATTATTAGATAATTTAAGAGACTATGCGATGAATATAGAATTTATGCATCTGTTAGTGAGGAAAGTGAGATTTATTACCCCTGGTCAATGGATACCATGCAATGACAAACCAGAACGAAGTGTGCAAACCTCTCTGCTCCCTGGATATAGTGGCGGCTCTATGATATATTTTGGGGGCTAAGTTGTCCGATAGGGGAGACTTGAGCTCGTAGGCTCGAGCTGGGAGAAGGGGTTGAGTGTTTCCTCCCATCCAAATGAGATTTTTTTTTTAAGAATAGCAACCTCTGGATGGGCGGAAATGGCACTCTCAGACTGTAACAGACATGTTTTGGCTTGGTGTGGGCCTATTTTTATATGTTTTATGGTCTGACAGCCCGACGAGCTCTGTCCGGTGGGGAACTTGACCTGTCCGGTGGAGGACTTAAGCCTCCTTGCTGGCGCCGCCACTGCATATGTAATGATGAGGTAGAGGTATATCGGTTTTCTGATTAGTGTAGGAGTGTCTTTATTTTACCAATTATGCCTTTGTATAACACTGAAACGAAGGTTTGTATGCGCCATCGGAAAATTTACTTGGTCTACTTGATAAACTTGCTTTCACACTTTGGTAAATATGGATTCCTTACGTCTGTTCGTTTTCATCATACTACTAGCTAGGAAAAATTAAGTCTATGTTAAGCTTAAACAATATTATGTAATTAGACATATTAAAATATGCTTTAATTTCAATTAAAACAAAAATACAATTAGGTATCTCAATTGCTTACTTTGTATAGACTTACTTTAAATTGCAACAGAGACTTTGGGATAAACGTGACATTCACTGATATTTAACAAATGAATTAATTATTTGAATGTGGACCTTTTTAAGTAGAAATAACGATGACAGCTACAATCAGAATAAACGTTTTGGATCTTATCCGTATAAATTTCAACGCTTAATAAATTCACTGCTATTATTAACCAGTATGGTGTCCAAAGTATGAAGAATAACTCAATGACAAGAACACTAAACAGCCTACAACTATGATTTGTATATTAATATAAACCTTGAACTCTCTCATCTAGGCGGTGCGAATTGCCGTTTAGGTTTCTGTTCAAATACCTTAATATGTTACGAAGTCTTAGCATTATTCCAGGTACAATACCATACCGTACAATACCGTGCGAATAACCTCGGCCGTATTATTTATTTAATTCAATAATATTTAATTTGTATAAAATGGAATTTTTTCAATGAGAGAACGCTGCTCTAAAACACCGAAAGCAGAAGTCTTATTTACATCGGGCTTTCAAAATGTATGCATAGCAAAACAAATAAAGAATCTCGTCGCCATGACAATCAATGACATAATATATACTTCTTTGTTTGTATCGGTCGTGCTATAACAGGAAAAGAGTTAAGAGGGCGTTAAACTCATTTTGCGCCAGAACATTTTTATTTCAGGCTATCAACTGTAAAACATATGCAGCAATGAGGTAAACGTATTGGTCTGCTGATAGTGTAGGCGCGCCATTGTTTCATTAATTATGACTCTGTATAACACTGAAGCAAAACATTGTGGGCACCATTGGAAAATTTACTTGGTCTGGCTGATCAACTTGTTTTTACACTTTGGTAAATATGATTCTTGTGTCTCTGTTAGTTCCCTGCAGACGGGCTAAAGTAAAAATACGGGTCAGTATATTCTGTCTATGTTAAGTTATATAATATAGTTATATAATTTAGTAGGCCTATTATGCTTTAAATTTTAGAAACATACAAAAGTCAGTCGGGTGCTTCAATTGCTTACAGTACTTTGTATACTTAAAACATCATTATATAACAAACAAAATGAGAGAGTTTTAAAGACTTGGAGCAATTGACATTGCGATAAAAAACAATCTGAGATGACAAGATGACATAATGAATTAATGGCACTTTCTGCTAAGCCCCGCCCCTTGGATATTGTTTCTTTAGCCCCAGAAAACCATAGTGTAAATGTATAAGCGCACGCGCGTTTTGAGACAACACATTGTTTAAAGGACACTCGCGTATTCCTGGTTCCTTGGTCATATTTTGTTAAGTTTGATAGGCACTCCTGAACAGGTCTATTGGATGTGGACCTGTTGTAGAACGTAGAACAGGGGTGGCGCCAGGATTTGCCTGACGGCGTCCGAGGTCCCCGACGGGGGGGGGGGGG